CTTCCTTCTTCTTCCCCCAGCTTTATATGCTGAGCAAGACGTCATATGGTGTGGGATTTCCCTTTGGTCAGTTGGGGTCAGCTGTGCCAGCTGTGTCCCCTCTCAGCTTCTTGTGCACCCCAAGTCTACTCCCTGGTGGGGTGAGAAGCAGAAAAGGCTTTGACTCTGTGTAAGCACCGCCCAGCAGTGACTAAAACATCCCTGTGTTATCAATACTGTTGCCAGTGCAAATCCAAAACATAGCTCCATACCAGCTGCTATGAAGAAAATTAACTCTATCCCAGCCAAAACCAACACATCCTGGCCAAAAAATCCCCTTCCTCAGTCACAATGCTGTCTAGAATACACCAGGCTGGACCTTCCCTACTCTGCCTACTAGCACTGAAGGGCAATGCAGGGACATTAACTTGCAGTCTGAAGGTAGGAGGGATGAAACAATGCCAAACTTTCAGTAAATTAGGTTTTCAAGCTGATGTGGTGTTGTGATGGCTTAAATTTACCTAGAGTATGTCCCAGCAGGAACCAAAAAATATATCAAAACAGAGCCAGCTCCTGTGTTTCAGTGGAGTCTGGTGGAGTAAAGGAGAAATAAGAGTGAAGTATGCTCTTAACCGTGTGTGTTTTCCACATCCACATCCCAGACACTTATTAACTCCTTCACTGATTGCCACAGACTAGAAAGTGCCTCCCAAATGCACCTTGGCCCCAGAGGCAGCAGAACTAGGAGAGAAGAGGGACACCATATGCACTGTCATCAATTCAGGGCACATAAATTTTCTTGATTACTTGGTCGTCACTGTGCATGCTGCTCAGCAGAGAGTGAAAATCTCCTTCCACAGATTTACAGTGCCTTTTAGAGCAATTTTTTTAAACCTCTGTAATGACACAAATACTAATCTGTCCAAAGTTATTTTGCACTTGTTCAATATTAAGGCAGCTTTGGGTGATGACTGATTTAAATGCCAAATGAAATACAAATTTCTGTGAAACTTGGGGCTGGCGGGAAAGGGATGGTGCCACCCTGCAGGTTTCTTACACCTCAGAAGAGGCTTTTGGGAAAGCAGCAGTTTCCTCTTTCCTTAAAACTAAACTTAAACCAAACCACTCGGCCACTTATTTACACACATAGACCTGGGGAAATCCTAAACTGAAGGCTGCAGACAGGCTAGACCCAAAAGGAAACTGAGTGGAGGAGACAGAAAGGTTGCCTGATCCTTGTGCTGGTTTTTCTTAAAAACTGTCCTCTGGAAGGCCAGTAAACCCAGTAAGGCTCATGCCCACTCTCTCCTGTAAAGGGCTCCCATGGGGGGGTGGGGCGGTGTACAGATCCGCTGCCTTCAGGGCTCTCTGGTTTCTCCTTCCTCTTCTCCCTGTTCTGGGAGACCAGAGCACCAGAAATGCACACACTGGAGAAGTGCTGGCATGGAGCACATCTGGATTATGAAAGCAGCAGGAGGATTAGCAGGAAGTGGGATAAACTCAGCTGAACTTCAGGTCAGGGATGTTATGAGGAAAGAGCAAAGAAGAGCAGAGGCACTACTCAGACCTAGGACCTTCAGGCTCACCATCCGGTGGGTTTGCCAGGGCTGTAGTGCTCCACACACCAGGCACAGAAGGTGTGGTAAACCCTTGGGGCCCAGCCTCAGGACAGCAGTGCCAGAGCCTGGCACAGGGAGGGACCTTGCTGGGTTCATCTTCCAAATGCTCCCTGGCTTGCCAAAAAAGCTCCCCCTTTGGCAGCCAGTGTCAGCCTCCCCAAACAAGGATTTTCTTTGGGAGGGCTTCACCCTCTCCCCACAAGTCCTGTAGCCCTATCTCAGCTGGGGCAAGAGGTTAGAAGCAGAGAGGAGCATGCTGCCAGCCGGTGGGGCTGCAGTTGGGTTGTGTCCTCTTTCAGGCTCTGGAGGCAGAGGTATTGGAGAGCATGCCCAGCTCCCACACCTGCCAGGCTGGCCATATGGACTAAGAAAGCAAACATCGGTGTCCTGGGGTGGCAGGAGATAGCTGCATGGGATGGGGAACCCACAACGCCTTGTAAGCACTCTGTAAGTGTGAAGCAACCCTTGCATCACCCAGCTTTTTATGAAGCAAGTGCTGAAATGCTGCATCCCCTCTGGCCTGCTCCACATGAGCGATGGGTCACTGGTAGCCACCCCTACCTTCCTCCCTCAGACATCCCTTCGGCTGCCATCTGTCCTCTCTGTTTCAGTATTCAACACAGAGTGGTGTCAAACAGTGACTCAGGCTGTGCATGAGTAACTGGGGCGGGTGGGGAGGCTGGCACAGCCTTGTGCACCCACTCTTTGCAGGCTCACAAGGCCAGAGGATCGCTTTAGTGAGATCTGCTCCCCAAGGAACGGAATCACGGGACCATGTCTCAGGTGTGACAACTGTTGGTCCAAATGTGTATGGTGCTCCTTTGCCAAAGGTGACTGTTGCCGCAGCAGAGTTGATGGTACAGATGGTTTGTCCCTTCTCCCATACAAATCCTACACTGTAGGTTTCAGTGTACCTCGTCACACTGGACCAGAAATAGAGGTAGCTGAAAAGCAGAAACGCCTCTTATTTTCCTGGCCTTGGTACAGGCAAGGTGAACAGCCCTCCCAGCTGGCCAGGCTGATGGCATCTGGATCTATCTCCAGAGTCAGCCAGCACTCCACCTGGCTGAGGAGTTTCTCCCATCAACCCAGTAACAGGTGCATTTGAGGAGAAAGCAAAGGCTGTGGCTTACAAAATGGCCATCTTGTTCTCAAATGAATTATTCAAGAGCTGAAAC